TATAGCATTTTCGGATACATCCAAACAGCCTAGAGCTTGAAAATGAAACAAAAACAATAAATAATTATACATGCCTGATCAAATCAAGAAAAAAATAAGAAATATGTACCGTAAAACATCTCAACCTCTAACAGTCAAGCTAAGCACTGCTGATGGGAAAGACCTGATTTAGGAGGTTGATTTAGGAGGTTTCCTTTAAATAGGACAACAAACAAATAAAACTGACTGATGTGAAAGGCTTGTTTCTTATACATTTTCTTTAGCTAAATCATCACAACAAACTAGAGCTCGACTGATACAGTTTAGTTTAAGGTCGATGCCCATGATTTTGACATCAGTCAAACTGATGCCAGATACGTGCTGCCGAGTTTTTGGGGGCCAATTCTTTAGATTAATATTGCTTCCTCTTTCTCCACTTAAATGTTAAAAATGACAAGATCACAACAAGATGATAAAACTATGTTTTTATTGAAAAATCCTACAACACTTTAACAACAGATGGCAAATTAAGGGAGCAAACATGCACGTGTTTCACGTGATCTGAAAGCATGGCTGCTGAAAGTATTGATGAACCAGACACTGCATGCAAGAAAATAATAAAAACACACTAATACTGGACGAAGATATCGTCAATATATCAGTCTACGTCTACAATAGACCAACCACAGTGCTGCACAGATCCATTTTTCAAAGATTTAAAAACAACAGCTTAGTGGACCTGATGGTGCAGCAGGTTGCACAGATAAGTTGTTCAAAGCCGTTAAAAAGATAGAAAGAGTTTAAAATGAACAGGCTGCTGCATTTTGAACTAGCCCAGGGTCTGACAGAGAAACCTGGATGATTCTGGTTAAAAGAAAAGATGGAAGAATGATGATTTTTCCACAGACCTGATGCAGTTAGCGATCCTGACGTCTATTTTAACACCAAGACACTCCAAAATAAGCTAAATAGAGTGACTCCTTAGTGAGGAAACAGATTCGATGGACTTCACCCTATAAACAGGAGATCCCATATTTCTGTAGAATAAAGTAACAAAAACTTCAAGGACATTTAATTTAAAATTATGCACAAGCTTCATTACTGCAAGGTGAAGTTACATAAAATGTTCCCTAATACATCCCCACTGTGTGACTAATGCCATATTGAAGAAGCCACGCTTCTTCATTCTTACTGTTTGCGTACAAAATTAACCCCATTTTGGTCTGGCATATTCAAAACCTTGTCAGATATGCTTCCAATAGAGGTGAGGCTGGAACCATTTCTGATAGTGCTCGGAGTTTCTGTTCAGTTTTCTCAACTTAATAAATACCAACGACAACTATTATCTTATGCCTTTATCATTGGGAAAAGGCTAGTGTTGATGTTCTGGAAAAAATCAGAGGTTCCATTGGTTAAATTATGGCTGGAGAACTGGTAAGAATACGGTTCTCATTAGCAAATAACTTAAAGAGATTCAACAGAACTTGGCAACCCCTTCAGCAATATATTAATAACTCTATTTGAAGAGAATTTGTTTTGATTCTCTGTGTGATAAGATGTAAGTTTGGTTTTCATTTGGTTTTGATTATGTATTGTCTTTATGTTTTTTGTTCACATAAAAAAAGAGGACAAATGTGTATTGTTGATGTTTCGATTTTCATGTATGATTCCTCAATAAAAAACTGTTTAACACAAAAACTTCAAGGACAAAAAAGTGATCCAAAATCAGAGCCTTGTGGTACCTCCTGTGGTCGGTCAGCAAAGGATGAATTACAGTCACCAACACAAAGTGAAAAACTATCAGAGAGGGAGGACTTCCTCTGCTGGAGAACTGACCCTCTGATTATTACTCCTGCTGTGAAATCAAGGATCTACTGAGGTTTACAGGGATGTGTGGTGGTCTACTGCATCCAAGGCAGCAGTGATTTCTAGCAGTACAGGGTTCTCAAACAGCTGATTCTACGATGTGGAAGGATTTCAAACATTGCTAAAACATTTATGCTCATCCAGGAAGTTTTTCAGGTGGTGGAGGACTTTTTTTTTCCTAAAAAGTCAGCTTGGAGACAGGATGTTACCTCACTATGTAGTAAACGGGATGTGATGCCACTTACCTAGACTGAGAGATGACAGGTAGAAGTAATCCTTTGTGCTCTGTGTCACAGAAACAATGGTCAGGTGAAAACAGTCAGCAGCAGGAATCAGACTTGACTGAAGATGTCATTGAGCAGGTGGAAACTCACGTTCCCATTGGTCAGAGATGCTGTGATTTGGCCTGGCTCTGGATAGAATTCCTTTACCGAAATAACCCTGAAACAGTCAATCAATGTTTACTTAGCCAGCACAAAGTGCTTCACAGGACAACAGCTGGCATCCTGCAGCAGCCTGCAGGATTACAATCTTTATTTATTTATTTATTCAGTCATATACGTTTACAGGAAGAGTTACAGTCTCATTTACAAAAGACCTCCTACATACAGTAAGTAATACTAAAATAACACTCATAAAACCAACATAAAATCAATAATCATCCACTAAGTACTTCTGAAGATCAATACTATGTCAAACCAGCAGGGGTTTTACTTAAAACAGGGAGAAATGGCTCCAAAAGGATTTACTAATAGTGTCATTAGAGATGCACTGTTAATTTTTTTCCAATCCAATCTGATACTGATATGTGGTGTTGAGGATCAAATGTCAATGATGTAAGCAGGTGCGACTCCCACCTGACACCACATCCCTGAAAACTGAGTCTACTTAAGCAGCTGACTCCATTTGACTTCCTCTTGCCTCAGGTTCTCAAGGGGAAAATCAAGCCAGTTTTCAGCTGAGGCTACGCTGTAGCCACCAAAACCCCTCAGGAGAAGAGTCTGTGTTCGCTGGACGAAAACTGCACTCTGCCAACGATTCACAAGGTGCTGAATGTAGTGTTGAAAGTGTTTTATGAATCTTTCTGCTGAAGCAGATGAGAAACCACCCAGTTCTGTTCTACCCACAGAACAGCCGGCAGCACAGCTCTGGTTGTACTGCTGCCGCAGTCTGAGCCGCTGCTACAAAGCTATCCACAGCATTAAGGTGACTCCCTCTTTTAAGGTTACTCTGAGTGACAAAATGAAACCCTGCAAAGTTTGCTTCTGTTGTTTGAATCAGAATATTTCAAGTGTCTTCGTGAGTTGCCTGTTGGATGAGCAGATCGTGTTCCTGAACCAAATTGAGACCAATTTCATCCCCAGAACCGAACCAACCAAGTAGAATCGGGCCTAATGGAACCAAACCCCTACCCCCTCCAATCCACTGAGCCAACAAGTGAACATCTTTTCCCTAATTCCATCTGATTTTTAATTAATTTTCTGCTTGGACAAGAAATAGTTAGAATAAATATTTATACATGTATTGTTTGTGGTTTATCAGGAAGAAGCTTTTTGATTCAACTGCTGATGGTTTATAAGTAAAAGTGCTGAACTGAATCCTAACACTCTTTGAGCCTGACTGAACGATCCATGCTGTGTGTTACTGTCTGCTTAATCCTTTCTATTTGTTTGAAGATTTAGGCTGCTACGGTTGGACCATGGCACCCACGCGATCCATTCTGGAGAACGACCTCCATGTCAAATTAACCTGATACTGAAGATTACGCAAAGTGAGATGTTCTAGAGTCAAACACCTTGGTCCAAACAAGGTAAGAAGAACCAGTCCAGAGCTGCCTCTGGTCATCACCTTTCTGCCAAATGAAGGAGGTCTTTAAAAAGCTACCCAGCAGACTGAGTTACATACAGCAGGATAAACGGTCCATCTTGGCCCGGGTCAAAGGAGCCAGCTCTACAGAACCTAGAATGAAGCTAAATATTGTTTTATTGGATCAGACCCTAATCAGACCTCTTTTTATCAGATTCAGATCAAATCACTCCTGTTTTTATTGGATGGGAACCAAATAAGATCAGATTTTATTGGATCAGGACCAAATAATTCCTGTTTTTATTGGATTGACATCAAATAATTCCTGGTTTTTATCGGATCAGGACCAAATTATTCCTGGTTCTCTCCAAAAACAATCTACAAATAAGTAAACATTCTTAAATTAAGTGTATTTACCAATTAAGTGTATTTACCTTTAATTTGAGAAGGTAATTAAGATGACTGCCAATGGAATGAGTACATTTACTCTCAAAATTAGATAATGTACACTTGAAATCAGATAATTCAATTGTTTCTTATTTTTAATGTAAATTTTGTTGTTCCATTGGCAGAGTGTCTCTTATTTCCTCAATTCAAGAAAAAAAAATGCATTTACTCTAGGAAAAAAATATTTACTTAGTGTTTTATTGGATCTTGAGCAAATCAGTCGTGTTTTAAGTGGACCATCATCACCAGTACCAACCTGGTTGTGGATGTTCTGGATGTCATCTGGATGGCAGACCAGGACCTCCCGGTGGACCAGTTCTCCCCGGTAATGCTTCCTCTCCTGCAGGTTCCGGATCAGCGGCAGCGGAGCCTCGTAGTCCTCATAAACCCGGGTTCTCCTCTTGGGAGGTCGGAACTCCACCTGCATTCTCTATGTCTGTCCTTGCGATGTTTGGAGTCTGATCCAGAAAGAAGTTTAGCCGACTTTGTTGTGTCTAAGCGTGCAGACACGGTGTCACATAATCTATGTCCGACTGGAAACATAACTATATCAACAGTTCCTACCCACGTCTTTTCTTTCTTTGAGAAAAAAATATATATTTCACAGAAAAATTTCTAGAAATATCAACATTGTCTGTGCCTCCATTTCATTTCCAAATCTGTGTTCTATACATAATGAACAAGATAACTGTATATCCTGACCTAGATATCATAATTAGATAAACTAGATCTTGAAAGTTCATTAGTATGTCTGAGTCTGGTACATAAAGATTCAGAATCATTTGAAGTCTAAAAGACACATTTTTTAAAATGTATAACCCGTTACATTCTGTCAAACAATGAAAACTGTGTTTATGTTGTGAGGAACAATCCACTCTAAGCTGTTTTTTTTATCCCCAACATTTTCAAAAGAAACCAATTTTAATGAAAAACAAGCCCTGCATGGGAACATTACACAGAAGTACAAAACCCAAAATAAAACCCATGAAGTAAACACTGTTCAACACTATAATAAATATCCTGAAGTAACATGTGTATCCATGAGGCTCCCTTCACATGTCTGCACATCTAGAATCATCCCAGGTGTCTGTAATTGTTCATCTTTGTTTCAGGATAAAGAAGCTGGTTAAAGGAAAGGTGGCATTGGTTTAACTGTTGGGCGTTGACTCCTCCTGTCTGTCCACCATGTAGTATTGGTGTTTCTGGAGGTGCTGGATTAGTGTTGTGTACTTGGACACCCTCCTCATCCTCGGCAGGATGAAGCTTTGGGTGAACTCTTCTCGTGTCAGAATGCCCTGACCCTCCAGCTCCAGGACACTGTTCAGAAACTGAAGACAGAAGCTGAAGCAGTTGTGCTCATCCTCATGGAACCTGAAACACACAGACAGGTGGGTTAGAGAGGAATATAGATGGTTCAAACACATGGGCGGGGTTAGATGGGGACAATCATTAGACCTTAAACAATCATTGGCCCCAACCAGGTGATTTGTTGTTCCCATTTGGATATCGCCACGATAACTAACTGTTTCCTTCTCAAACAGAAGGTGGCAGCAGTTATACTCTCACTTTTCTGTCCAAACTAATTTGACATTTCAGAATTGACCACCTGTTCTTTTTCTAAGCAACCATTAAAAACTTTTTGAAAGATTTACTTGTTTAAATAAAAGATGTCTTCATCACCGGCTTCTTTTTGAACAGATGATTAAATCTCTGTACAAAATAACAACTTGGCTGTTCAGTGGAGCAGTGGGTAGCACTACTGCCTTACATCAAGAGGGTTTTGGGTTAATTTCCCAGCCCAGGGTCTTTCTGCATGGAGTTTTTCATGTTCTCCCTGTGCATGCGTGGGTTCTCTCCAGGTACTCCGGCTTCCTCTCACAGTCCAAAAACATGAATGTTAGGTTAATTGGCTTCTCTAAGTTCTCCTTAGTAGTGTGTGTGAGAATGGTTGTTTGTTTCTGTGTTGCCCTGCGATAGACTGGCAACCTGTCCAGGGTGTACCCCCCCTCTCGCCCATAGACAGCTGGAGATAGGCACCAGCACCCCTCGTGACCACAGCTGGGATAAAGAATGATGGGGAAAAAATGATTTAGAAACTCTGTATCCCTGTCATTTTATTTTTATAGGCAAACATTTTTAATCAGAAGGACAAAGTACAGAAATGTGAACTCTCAAATTATACACTAATTCCACACACTTACCTCCATTAACTTAATTTTTCGTGTTATTTTTTGCATTGTTTTTGTTTCCTTTGTTTTATTGCCACGTTGCTTGTTCTCAAATCTGTTACACTTAAAAGTTGTAATGAGTTAGTTTATTGCTACAGTGAAGTCTGATGTAAACATGTTTATTTGATTAAAAAAACTGATTAGACATTTTAATTTTTAGTATTATAACCATAAACTGTCATCAAAAGCACAGTAGTTATTTTTTACATAATCATACTAACCTCTAAGATAAAAATAAATACAGAATTCTAGCTCTTTTCAGAATAAGCGTTTGTGTTTTATGGTGAAGAAGGCAAATATATAGGACTATGCAAGTCACCTAGATAGTGGGGACAGTGGATTGGATAGCAGGAGCTTGTTCTGAATATGGACAGTCACTTGTTTGCACCTTGGTTCTGTCCTTTTCAGTTATTTTCAAAGTATACAGTGAGATACAGCAGTGGAGCTACAATGAGGGACTAAAACCAAAGCTAACATGATACATAAACACTAGAAGTATGCTTTGGAACAAGAGCCAATGGTGTTTGGTGAGCATGTAACAAAGACTAGCATGTGTGGAAACTAATGGAAAAGATGATCCTCTCAGACATTAAACCCAGAGAGATAAAACACTGTCAATCCAACTATATCTCTAATTTAGACTTTGTAGATTTGTAAATATGTGTGTATATATTTATTAGCAAGGGTTTTTAAGAAAATCTGATTTCACTGGAGTGATTTACTTGGAAAATATGGATGTTCTGCTCATTCATTTTTTCTGTTTGTACGGCGTGGATTCACCCTGATGTGGTTCCGGTTTTATCCGTTTTGAGCCACGTCTCAATGTGATCGCTCCCTGCCTGGCCACCTCCATGAACATTGTCTGACTCTACAGCTGCTCAAAGAGGACGATAGGTGGGTCAGAGGGAGCCACAGTGCAGATGTGTTGGGAGGGTTAGGTTTAAACGTACTTGTGCCATACAGGGTCCCATGTTGGTCCCTCAGAAAATCGCTCTAGATATTGATCCCACTGAGCCAGCAGGTGGAACATGTCGGGCCGTACCAGGGGGACGCTGACACAGAGGGCCCATCCGCTCTGATCTCGCCTCACACCATCCTGTGTGAAGTTATACACCACACCTGTATATAAGTACAGGTGGACGGAATCAGGTGAGACTCACATTGGCGGCGTCACCAGGATGACATGCAGGACTCCTCACCTGGACCCAGATTTTCATACCTTTAGTGTTGGAGATGCCAGTGTGCAGATCTGAGGTCCCACTGAAGTCTCTGAGGGACAGAGAAGAACATACTGGTTAGATTGCTGTCAGACCAGCTCATACTTGATCCAAACTGCTTTTTGGACTCATCCTCAGGCAAGCCAAGGTAAAAAAAAAAAAAAAATCTCTCTGCTGTTTCATGGCAGTTAATATGAAAAGAATCACTCTCCAACACCTTGACCACCACCCCAACCCCAACCTGTTTCTACTCAGACTCAGCGGTACCAACTAGGTTCTAGCAGTAGTTAACCATAGAGATGTCTGAATAAACCCTGTGACTGTAGACTGACTCGAGGGTACCTGTGCAGGGGGGCTCTGCTGTTACCTGTCCAGGTTGTTGTGTGCAGGAGCCACCAGCAGGCAGCAGGAGGTCTTATGTCCATCTGTAAAGGGGGAGGGCAGGCTCACCGGTGCTTCCTGCAGCCTGCGGCCCTTCAGCTCCTCCCCACAGCTCGGACATACCTCAGGAACAGAGAAGCAGAAGATCTCCTTCTGACAATGGGTCAGGTGGATGACGCTCCGCTCCATCTCCTCCTCAGCTCCTCCGTCAGTCTGTCTGACTACAGTTCCTCCTCTTCTTAAGTTTCTTCTCTCTTCCTCCTATTATTGTTGCCTGGACACAGCCTATTGGAACACATCACACACCCTAGCTCCAGCCTATCAGGTGTTCTGCTGTGGTCATGTGACCCTGTTTCACCTGGAGTCAAGTCAGTCTGAGCAGCTGACCTCTGGACTGTGTGTGCAGCGTTGTTAAGGAAACAAGGGGCAGGTAGGAACTATAAAAAAAAAAAAAAAATTCCAGCTTACTTAGCTTGTTTAACCTTCGAAACAGTCTGTGGTTGAAAATTGTTTTTTTTGTGTTTGCTGTTTCTGATCCAGACAATGAGAGGAACTCTGAAATGATCCTACACCTTAGAAAGCAAAGACATGCAAGCTTTCAGGAACTGCCTCCTGATTTGCTCATTGGTGATTTTTTTTCCATCTCACTTGTCAGAGATCTGATCAGTGAGATCAAATGAGCCAGACAGAGATAGACCCTGGAGTCACATGTCACTCTTTCCTCCTCAGTCTTTCATCATCTCAGATTTTAACATTGGAGCAACAGGTAAACCAGCACACCTGAACAGGCACCCTGAAGGAACCCAGAGCAAACAGCCAGAGATCCAATTCCTGGGTGGTTCAGATTAATCTGAAACAGAAACCAAAGCTTGAACATTGAAATTCCCGTAATACGGATCGGTAACCCCGGTTACCGATCCGTATTACTGGAGTTACTAACCCCAGAACTGAATAGGTGAAAGTCAGCCAAGTGAGAAAGGAGAAAACATCTGATCTCTAACTAACATGACGACAGGAATAGCAGCCCACAGACCCAAACATGGTTCAGGCCCAAACCACAGTCCTGCTGCTAAAAGGATAGTAATAATAAGTTATTATTATTATTATTATTATTATTATTATTATTGTTGTTGTTGTTGTTATTATCATTATTATATTAGTAGTATTAATATGGTCAATTTGGGGAGTGTTGGCCTAGTGGTTAAGAACAGGTTGTGCTCTGAGAAGGTTGCAAGAACTACAATGGCAGCCCACTGCTCCCCAAGGGGATGGATGCAGAGAGTGAATTTCCCAACTGTGGGAGAATAAAGGGAATTACATTACACAGTTTTTTTTATATAATCAGACCAGTCTTCTATTATCTCACACCAGTGAACAATATGAACCTACATGACTTTAACTGAATCAGGGTCCATATTCACAAGAGTCCTGGAACTAAATAACGTTCAGTGACATAGTTTTAGGAAAATGTTGGAATTGGAGAAATTTTGAGAAAGAATGTTTGTCAGAAAGCTTTTAAAATGAACTAATGTTAGGTTATGTTAGGTTAATGTAAGGTAGACTTAGTGAGCCTAAGAGAGAATGAAGTAGACAAAGATAGGAGAACAGAGAATTTATTAAATGCTATGTCACCTTAACAGTGCAGTAAATTAGCACATAAACTTCTATAACATTATTAAACTGCTCAAAAACAAAGGGAACACTAGAATATCCTAGATCTGAATAAATTAAGTATTCTTAATGAATATGCTGACTACAAAATCACACAAAATTTACCAAAGGATATATATATAAAAAGATAAATTCAAGACAAAATAAATTACAATAATATCCACTCTATATCTTTTCTCCTCCTCCAGCAGCACCTAGGACAGACCCTGTCCCTCTGTTAATTCTGGGTTTCTCTACCTTTTTTTCCCTTCACTTTCATGGTTGATTTGCGGCTTTATACAAAAAAACCAATCCCATTAAAATACTGACAGGTTAGTCTACATTATTATCAAATAAATGATGTTGAAAAATTGCCATCATGAATAATAAAGGTTGCAATATGCACATTTAAGATAATAAAGATGGAAATTATTGGTTCAAATAGCAATTGTTTTTGTGCTTTTTGACAATTTTTAAAACCATATTTCATTTCTTAATCCAGGGTAGATTATATAAATGCTTAATTTTCATTGATTCTAGGAGAACATTCCTTTTCTTTGTTGTTTGTTTCTATAAACCAATCACAGCTTTTTTTTTTTGTCGTTTTTTCTATTTTTATTTTTTATTTTGTCAGTTTCAGTAAGACATAGACATTGTAATTCACACTCCTTACCAGTTGGTGGCGGTAAATGCAAAATATGGTTGCTTGCCATCCGCCAATAAATCTTATTAAAAAAGAAGAACAACGCCTCCTTACTGGGGCAGGAGCTGCCCTCCATTAGTCTCAACAACTATCTATTAAGCGTTTAGGCTCAGTTAAAGCGAGGAGCCTTTTTAAAGTTTCACAGAGCGGCATTGTTCTCTGCTACTGCGGGAACCTTTCTGCTCTGTCCGCTGCTTTCACTCGGAGCTCTTGGAGAGGAACACCAGTAGGACACTTCCGGCAGCTGAGCGCACTCCGCGACGAAGATGAGCACCAAACAGGTGACCTGCAGGTGAGCCCGCACTGTGGCTGTGTTTCTGTCCCCCACTTTCCTTCGCCTCTTCCTCGGCTATCTGCCCTACTTTGCGTAGTCGTGTCGCTGCGCACGCGCCTATTTAACGCTAATGTTTTTAGCCGCTAGCTGCGCTGTGTGAGCTCTTCTGTGTGAGCACGCGCTGCTAATCTGATCGGTTCATCGATCAATTGTTTACAATAGAAATCACTGCGTGCTCCGTTCGCTGTTAGCACCAGGTTGGATCTTTGGTTCTAGATGTCATCCAGGTGCTGGAGATGTCCGGACCTATTGGATCATATTGACGTCATCACCATTGATAGAGGTTGAAATTTTAACACAGGTCAGAACCAGGCAGTTCTAAACCCATTTAGCTCAAGGGGTCCATGTTAATTTAAGGTTAAGTCTGGTTTGGTACCCTGGGTACTGCTGTGATCCTGTCCTGGTGCTTTAGAGTAGGTGGAGAGCTCTGGAGAACTGGACCTGATCTGATCCTGGTGGGATTAGTGGTAACCCTAACCCATTAAAAAAGGTCTAGTAAAGATTCAGTTTACCTCCGCTTTTATTTTTTATAGTGTCCCCAAATGAAAAACACTTGTTATCTTACGGTACTTTGCAGAAATTATTATTAACCAGGTCAACCCAGTGCAATAGCTATATATATATATATATATATATATATATATATATATATATATATATATATATATATATATATATTATACCCATGTAAACACATTGTGCAATAGCCCTGTAAAATAAATCTTGCCATTTATAAAAAAAAAAAAAAAAACTGCCATATGTGGATGCACTGTATATACTGTGTGTATCCTATGCACCTTTTTCTTCCTTTGGCACCTTCTTCTTCTCTTTTTGACAATTTGAGCTGATGTAATGAGTAGAGATGTCCCGATCCAGGTTTTTGCACTTCCGATCCGATACCGATATTGTTTTTGGACTTCCGATCCGATACCGATACTGGCCGATACCAGCCTATTCAAGCATGCATTTAAGTTTAAGTTAAAGTATTTAGCCTTAGTTGTAAGACTCATGTTGAAAAGGGTTTCAGTACTCTTGATAACATATAGCCAGCTAAATTAGGTGAGATTGAATAAAACACAATGCTTGGTAACAACAAACTTACCTGTTTATTAAGAGATAAACACAAACTGGACAAAATTATGAATAGCAATCTGAAATTGCACAGTGAGCAGTAAAACCGTAAACCGTTAAAGGTGCAAGTATTACTGTAAGTTTTAATAAAAATGCAAAACAGGGGAACACTGGCGCAAAATAGTGGAATGGATCGTTTCAATCGGGGAACTGGAAAATACGGACCGGATTTTTTTTAAAAAACTGGATCGGCAGTCTGGATCGGCATTTTACATGCTTTGCCAATACGCATTTTTTTGCCAATATCGGCGTCCCGATCCGATACGTGGATCGGATCGGGACAAGCCTAGTAATGAGTACATTTCTCCACTGTGAGATTTGTAAGGTCAATCAATCCGTGATATTATGTTTAAAAGTCATTGACTTTGCAGGGTTTGCTTCTATGGGATGAGATATTGTTGATAGTGGATATTCGCTTGTGCAACTAACGATTATGTTGCAAGTCGATTAATCTGTCTATATTTTTTATTAATTGGATGGCAAGTTTTTATGAAATCAAACCAGGTGAAACTAAAACGATTCAACTTGAGGAGTTCTGAATGGAGCATATTGACAGACGAAAAAGCTTTTATGTTAAATGCAAATGTATATAAAGATTCTTTTTACAATTTAAATAACTGCTCTGGGTTTCTATGTCACCTAAAGGCATATTTTACAATCTCTAAACTCCAGTTAAGGATTAATCCATTACTAAATTAGTTGACGATTATTTGAATAATCAATTAATCACGATCAATCCAGTTAATTGTTTCAGCCTAACTTGCGTTGCTTCTAAACTCAGTGGCTTAAAGCTCAGCTGAATGCCAGATGAGTCCTACCTCCAGATGTGCTGTGTTTCAGGTATTTCCTCCACGGTGTCTGCAGAGAGGGCAGCCAGTGTATGTTCTCTCATGATGTGAACAACAGCAAACCCTCAACCATCTGCAAATACTATCAGAGAGGAACTTGTGCCTACGGAGAGCGCTGCAGGTGAGGCCCGACTCTCACTCTGATACTGTAACGACTTAACTTTACAGCTTTAACATTTTAACCTGACGGCTAATGAAAACACCTTGCTGTTTGCAGGTATGATCATGTGAAACCTTCCAGAGGAGGAGGCGGCGGAGCTTCGGAGGGCCAGGCAGGTGTAGGCAGAGGGGTCAGAGGTGAAGGGCGGAAGCCGATGGTCCTAAGAGACAGAGGTAATAAACAAAGTATGAAGGTTGCGCTGTGTTCACTGCTGTGGGAGGGGCTTGGACCCACAGGTTACTACAGGAAGCTGCTGTAACACCTGACTGATGAAGCAGCCACACCTGAAGGCTCAGTGACCTGCTCCAGCTTTACAGTCAGGACGTGTAAAGGAACTGTTATCACAAAAGTGGGACATTTCATAACATCAGAATTCAGTTTCAAAATAATAATTTAGTGTAATTTCCTAATGGCTGCAGTTTATCCAAACACTGAAAATAAGGGGTGAGCGATATATTGCATATACTCCATGTATCTCTAGTTTCCCCACGGACAACAGTTAAAATGACTCT